ATGGGACCATTCCCACGCTCCTTGAAGCTTTGCATTCTTGGCTCCTGAGATTACCTGCTAGCAGATAGCTGTGGCCCTGTCTTCCTTTGATGAAGATGTTCTTATCTTGGGTGAGATGTGGAGTACTTCATCTTGCAACATTTCTGCTACCCCCGGAGGCAGAGAAAGAGGGAGAGAACACAGGAAGAATGACAACTTGTACTTTCAAAATCACAGCCTCTTAAGGACAACAGTTGATAACAAGCCCAAGCAAAACTGAACTACTGACTCACCCTCCTCTCTCCTGGCCTACTGGGAAAGATGGAGGATTTCTGTACAACTGGTAACACTGGCTTCAGGGAGATCCCTTTTTGTCATTAAAAGAATGAATCTTCTTTAGACTATATATTTATTATAGAAACTTGTCTCCATTATTTTTCCCTGAGTTAGGCTGCTTTTATCAGTGGACCTGTGATAGAAATGTTTCCTTGTGTGCCTATATTAATATGAAGTACAGACCTGCATCTTTCACGTGCCCATACCCTACACTAGTTGGCTCAGCTGCAAATAAAATCATGTCTAATACTGACATTGTGATTTACAAGTGCTTTCTAGCAAAAGTGAAATATTAGGTTTGGAATTGCATGCCTTTGTTTAACAAGACAGGTAACAAAGGCACTGAAAAAAAAAAAACCAGAATGAAATGAAACCATTGAAACATTGGTATAGATAAGGTAACATACATAAGTGTGATGTCTCATGTGATTTTGAAATCTGGTATTACTTAAACATAATAGATGAAAGGTTTCCTCAGAGAATAGTGTGTCTTCTTAGTCCTTTCTGAGCAGGTGAATAAATTCACTGGATTATCTTTGTTTCCAAGCCTGTATCAGGTATCTGATGTTTATCAGAAATACATGTTTAGCTGAAAGCACAAGTCTGAAGCCTACAGTTTAACGAAGACCAGGACTGCAAAGTCAAGCATGCTTCTAATGTTAATTAGAAGACAATAGAATTAATATTGCATGTGCAAACTGGATCCAGACCACTTCTGTGTATGTCATTAGAGGTGGGATTAATCTCACTTTTACCATCTGAATGTTAGGCAGTGAATCTCAACCGATCAGGTAGGCTCCTTAGCTGTATCAATAGGCAGAGGTAAAGCATTTCATGGAGTGATTCATCCAAAACTAAGGTGGGTGTCTGAGAATAGGGAGATATACCTCCCTCAGAGCATTGCACTCTCTGTATTCTAGAGAGACTGCAAGTGACTCTCTTGCAAGGTGGATCCCACCATAGCAAACAGGCTGTCGTTATTGCCACAGGATCACTGCCTAACTCAGTGCTTACTAAATCTTTCTCTTCAGTATCATTTCTTTTCATCCTTTCCCTGTAATGTGTAGGCTTCTGCATTATTTCACTGTGTGCTGTTGAGCATAGCATAGAACAATGAATGTATTAATTTTCAGTGGGACTTTCTAAGGTGCTCGAGTACAGCATTTGTTAGCTGTTTCCAAATACTGATTAATATCTTCAGAGATGTGTCATGAAAAAAGGCAATATTATTACCACTTCTTTTTACAAAGGAGGAATGAAAGCATCAAGATTAGAGTTGTTGAAAGGTACTCCGCACTTTGGGTGTACGCAAACTGATTTTTCAGTGGCCCACACTCTGTTAGGTGTCACTCATCCAATTTAACTGCAAGAGCATCATTTCTGTCACTGCAGATCCATTTTAATCCAGGTTCTGCAATATTGGTGCTGCAACAAAAGCAGGTGAGCCTTAGCCAATAGCAGCCTCTTCTAATTGCAGTCATAACAAATTCCCACAGCAGCATTCTTTGCCCCAAATAGGGTAGGGAGTCCTAAGGGGAAACCACAGGAGTCTGTAATCAGGTCATTTAAAGAGCTTATGATAATATTCAGAAGGAGGCTGGGGTAAGGTTTCACAAGCAAATTGATTTTACTTTTTCATTCTTGATTTTGCAAATAGAAGTTTCTTCTAACAATATAAAATTATTGTCATACACTATTTTGAAGTCAGCAACTGGGAAAGGAGAGGTGTCTCTGAGTGAAAGCTCTGCCTGTGTCAGCAGCAGCACTAGGCACTTTATTTGGCAGGTTTCCACACTCTAGGTGGTGGCAATGCTGTCGTCTCCTGGGCGCTAGAGGGGGATGGATACGCATACTTTGCTAGTGGCTGTCACGGCTGGAGAAACGGTGCTTCTGCTTTTGGTTTGAATTCCAGGAGCTAAAGGAAGTGGTGACAAACCTTTCTCACCTCGTTGTTTGTTTTTCTTTCTTTTATTTTCCCCCCTCCTGAGCAGACATTTTTCCTTGTTTTCTTGTGTTCGTTTCTGTCTCTGCTTCTTCATTCCAATGCATTATTTCCTTTGACCTCTAAAGGCTGTTTGTGCTCTGTCTTTCCACCTTCCAGGGAGAGCTCCTGCTTTTGCACCTGGCCTCTGCTCATGATCCCTCATCTCTCATGTTCCTTCCTGCTTTTTGTACCTGCACAGCCTCCACCTTCATAAGAAGCTTAATTATAGTAGGTACAGATTCTTACCCTGTCCTGAGCAAGGCAGTAGTATCTGATCCCCTTTGAACAGATTAACAAGTAAATGTTAACAACTCATGTTCCCTCTGTAATCAGTTCTGTGAGATAGGGAATGTTTAGTTACATAGAGCATTAGCTCAAGGTTGTTGAATTTTTCAATTGCATATGTACTAAAGAAGATGTGTTTTGTGTTGAAGGACTGAACCTTGTATTCAGAGATTGGTCCATGAGTATCAGATCTTGTGGGAGTTCCCTTTGAAGGCTAGTATTTTCCTTCATGGCAGAAGGTAATGCCATCTTGAAAACCCAAGCAAGATGTTGACCACAACCTTCACTGTGGAGCACTAGGCATTCTTTTCAGACAGCTGGTTACACAGATACATACCAGGCTAAAGGAGTTGTCAGCAAATACAGCACTGTCTTCCAGGTGAGCCAAGCCATGAGAACTTGTTGGCATTGTGCCGTCCAATTCAAAGAGAGTTGAATTGAAGCCATTGTATATCTTGTAGATAAAGTCAAAGACCTTGAAGCAGATTTTGATAAGAAGTAAAGCTGTGAGCAGAGACTGTCTGGTGTGTTCTCAGTAGCCTGAAATTCAGACTACTGAACCACGAACCCTTTTCTGGGTTCAGGTTGTTGGTGAGTCACTAGCAGGCCTTTGGCTTATGAAGGTAGGCTGGACTCTCTACAGAAATGAACTCCATAAACTGCTTCTGTCCCACTCTCCAGCATTCTTTGATGTCCCTTGTTGCTCCTCTCTTTAAGTCCTGGTGATTGTTTCTGATGTTACATGTTTTCTATACTTTTTACCTCTGTCTAACATTCCTCACTCTTCCCACTGAGCTGAGGGTGGTTCTTCCCCTCTCTGCTCTCTTCACACCAGCAGTGGGAGCACTGAGATCAGAGCAGGGATCTTCCTGTTCCCTGATCTAGTGGAAGGTGTCCCTGCCGATGGCAGTGGGGTTGGAACTAGATGATATGTAAGGTCTCTTCCAACCCAAGTTATTCTATGATTCTTTACCAAAGTTGGGCAAAAAAATCTGTGGTCTTTAGTCAAAACTGGTAGGTAGTAAACCGTTATTATTTAAACTTCTTTCTTACTTGGATGACTTTCTTTTAAAGCCCTTTGAACATCCATCTCTGTTGATGTGCATCTATATATATATATGAGTTCTCTTTCTTACGATTTTATCTTGACATTCTAAGGAACTGTGGATTAAGTTGTCAAACTCTTTGTCCTCCTGTCTTTCTACCTGCCTGTCAGTCCCCATTTGGTGACTGACAAAACAAAACTAGATTGGACCCACTACTGAAAAAAATCAGAAATTAATTCCTCTGCATTTCATGGAAACCATTGGGACAGGGAAGGGATACAAATAGCTTCCCTTACTGCAGCTAAAGTGTAAGCTCAATGTTTTTTTAATCCGGACGGATGGTCAGTCAGCGCACACACAGCTTGGCACCCTCCCCAGCACGTGCTGCCTCTTCTCCAGGCAGATGGAGATGTTGTGGGGCATGCCATAGCATACTTGGAGGTAGAGACGTGGAACTCTTGCAGAGATGGAGGAACAGATTGTACACAGCTGTAGGAAACCATATTTTAGCATTTCTGCTGTCCAAGGAACATCTGACATCTGCTTGGAGGGAAGTGAGGGTAATTATAAACGGGTGCAGGGAGGGCTAAAGGGAAAAGGTCTTAAATATGTAGGAAACTGGGCTACATTCTTTGTGCTGCCTATGGCATGACACAGTAGCTTTCAGCATTTGTTATTCCCATCCTGGAAACAATCCTGAACAATGGATTTTGTCTAGTCAACAAATTTTTGAATCATGTTTTTCAGTTCCTTAGTTAGGGAATGACTTTTTAAATAATGTGATAGGGATTTAATGCCCACAGTTTACTGCAAGACTTAGAAAAGAATCTATAGATAGTAAGGTGGAGCTTCATCCAGCAATTACAGCCAAGGACTAGAGTTCTCAGTGGAACAGAAAAGGGGTTGGGATCAGGGTCTGACATCCCAGGAAAAGGAAGGATTTATACTGATTTTACCATAGATCTTCATTTTATGTATCTATTCATCTTCAATTGGTGATGCAGTGAATAAAATTTACCATTACCCCTGAAAGCCAAAACTTCTGGATAGCCAAGAGTATATAGTATAAACAGATGTAAAAATGCTCACTAGAAATAATGTGCTTGAACCTAACACAACTGGAAAGTATGCTGGTGCTCCTAGACAATCCTTGAATATATGAGACTAAGGGTTTTTGAAAGCACATAGAATCATGAAATGCTTAGATTTCTCTGCTTTTAATTCTAAAATGTTACAAAATTACTTCATCATGCAAAAAACATATATGGCTTACAATGACACATCAATGATTTGTTTCAAATGTGTTTAGCTCATAATATTCTCTCATCGCTTCCAAATTAGGTATTTGAGAGCTCAGATGTCATCTGTTTTCAAAGCCAGTCTGGCTTGATATATAAGATTTCTAGAAGTAATACATTTAGGGTGGCCTCTCCTAGAATGGGCCTGAAGAAGAGCTCTTCAATAGCATCAGCATCAATGTCTCGAAGGGAGGTGATTAGGTGAAGAATCTGAGCAAATCTTCCTAGGTTTCCATGGAACATCATTGAGATAAACTCTATCAAGGCTTGCCAAGCTTCCTGCTGCAGTGTTTGTACATAGGGGAGGCATTTTAGGACACAGCAGCCTGTCAAAACAAAAAGTAAAATAACAAATCCTGAGTAAACATTTCTGTTCTGTGCCCTTCATAATGATGGTTGTATGGATTTCTAACTTATAGCACTACTTTTTCTAGAAAACCAAAAACCACTTTCTAAACATGCATTTTGGAAATAGAAGATATGTGTCATTCAATAATTTGAAGGAGCACTGAGCAGCATTGTAAGCACATTGGAATCTAGCCCATTACATTAAAATCCAGCTTTGAAATAGTAATAGGAGGTAACTTTGACTCAGTACAGATGGAGAAGAAACTTTATAGTGTTGTCTATCCACCAAATGGTGCTGAGACAGTAGTCTGAGCAGGTGGAAACACTCCATCTCTAATCTATACAACGTAGGTAACATCAGACAGATGGAGATGGTGGTTTGGAGCAGTGAGCAGCCTGGCAGCCTGAAGACATAGGTTGTCTTCATTGGTTGGGTTTTCTTCAGTCTGCAACTGGTTGCCCTTTGTCAGCCTTCAACAACTCTCTTCTGCCTAGACATCACTGCCAGAGGAGAAGAAACCTCAGCCAAATCTGCAACCAGGCTAGCCAGAAATGAAGAGTTTGGAAAAGTCATCATCTCCCCCAGGATTACCAGCAGCTGTAAGCTGTGAGGATGGTTCCAAGTGTTAGATTTTTCATGGAAAGGAAGTTTTCAGGATTTTGTATATTCAGGATGAAATTACAATTGTTTATAGCCCTTCAAATATGCTTAATTTTCCCATTTGGTCTTCTTGTCTATGTAACCAAACACTGGCTTTAATTTGCATATAATGAGACACTTCTTGTTCTGAGATCTGTTGTAATAATATTCAGTCAAACACATGTTTCCAACTGAACTGTAAACCTCTTAAGAGGTTTTTTTAGCAGAAATCCTGTCACAGCCTTGATGGAGTTTATATATATATATATATAAAAAGCACTCCATAAATGTGTGTATATATATATGGCACTGATACAATAACAGCACTGTTTTTCACAATTCCCATCTCTTCACTGTGCAGTTCCAAGTCCTTTTCAGTCAACTGTCAAAAGCACAAGAACATTTTCACCTTGGTCTGTTCTATTCCTCTATGTTGGAACAGTCCTACCTGCTCCTTTGACTTCTACTCTGGTCCTAACAGAGAATGCCTTGCAGCTGGAGCCTTCACCCATAGACACTGTGACCACTCCAAAGCCACCTAGTAAATGCTTCCCTGCAAAGAACAGTTATACCAATTTGTTCCAGAGAGCCTGGATTCCATTGGTGCCTGTTTCCCCTCAGGGTCTGGGCACACACTCCCTCCAAGAGGTGCTACACAGATTCTGCTTTTATTTCCAGCTCTGGAGTCCTCAGCATAAGAAGGATGTGGACCTGCTGGAGTGAGCACAGAGGACAGCCTTGAAGATGGTGAGAGGACTAGAGCACCTCTGCTATGAAGACAGGTTGAGAGAGTTGGGATTGTTCAGCCTGGAGAAAAGAAGGCTTCAGGAAGACCTTTTAGCAGCTTTTCAGTAGCTAAAGGAGATTTTACCAGAAAGGTGGAGAGGGACATTTTTACAAGGGCCTGTAGTGATAAGAAAAGGGGCAATGACCTTGAACTGAAAAAAAACAGGTAGGTTTAGATTAGATATCAGGCATAAAATCTTTAGTGTGAGAGTGGTGACACACTGGAACAGGTTGCCTGGAGATGTTGTGAATGCCACAACCCTGGAAGTGTTCCAGGCCAGGCTGGATGAGGCTTTGAGCAGCCTGATCTAGTAGAAGGTGCTCCTGCTTGTGGCAGGGACATTGGACTAGATGATTTTGAAAGTCCCTTCCAACCCAAACCATTCTATGATTCTAGTAGGAGGACCTACCATCATGCTGCCTACCACCCTCTCCCCAGAGGGATTTTTTTAATGACAGGAAGCACAGTCTCTGCCACAAGAGCTCACTCAGGGCACAAGCAAAGCTTTGCCATAGTTGTCATGCTTCTCATCCAAGCGATAGCTGCTACAGCTGCATGCCTGGATGTCCTATTGAACTCCAGCTCATAACACAGCTCTGAACTGCTCTATGCCTGGCCCTTCCCTGTTGCCTTCCATGTTGTCTTCCCTGGTGCCTCGGCCAGTTTTGGTGCTCTTAACAGGAGTAAAACATTGAGGCTCAGAGCCCTCCTGAGGTACTTCATGATCCAAGAAAGGGTTTACCATTGTCACTGCTGGTGACACCCTGAAATCCTCTTAGAACTGAGGCCTGCAAAATATTAACATTTGACCAAACATCAAGCCAACACTTGAAAAGTTTGAAAATGTGCTGCATGTATGTAGAAAACATTTTCTGAGTTTGGTGGAAATTGTTGAAAAACTATTGAAAATAGTAATTGTGAAACAACAGCTATGCAGGGTTGTTTGCAGTAAAGGGTGGTTTGGGCTGTGTGTAAGCCCTGACTGCCTGTTTTCAGCCCAGAGTAAGTCTGTGACACCATTTCATCTGGAGTCAGCCTAGGTTTCACTGAAGTTCTCCTGGCTGCCTTCTGCAGGTCATGGAGAAATATTGCAGAGAATAATCTCATCCCACCTAAAAGCTAGGTGACATTCCTGAAACTCTGGATTGTGTCCACAGACAGCATCAAGGACTGCTGGCCCTCCTATACAGCCCCCTGGGGAAGCAGTAGGCCATAGAAGGAACAAATCCAGAATACAGCCCTGCTTCTGCTGCTTTCTCCTGAAGTGAAAATTGCATTTTGCCCACAGAAATAATAAAAATGCCTGCTAGTTAAACTGTGTAAGCTGCTGCAGATGAGGTATGTCTCCTCTTATCACCCCCCTGCATATAACCATTGGTTTCTTTCAGGCTGATTTTATTATGAAAAAATGATAAAATAACTTGCACTGAAATGAACTCCACTGGTTTGATACTGCGACACAGACACACAAGGCAGTACCAAACATCTGGATGACATTACACCTCAAGAATCAGAATTTGATTCCTATTGGAAACAAATACAAAGCCATACAGCCTTTGAGCAGCCTATAAACCATTCACCACAAGAAATATAGTGGAATAACTGAAACATTCAAGTATCCTTTTGGTGCAGTCCCAAGTATAGCACACTGCTGACAGTGCAGCCAACAGCAGTGATTGCTGTGGAAGGAGCTGGGGATCTGAGCCAGAGCAGGCTGGAGTCAATAAGTCTTTCCATTTACTTTAGTGTACTTAGAGCTCAGCTTTTAATGACTCATGCACTCCATGGTGCTGACCGAGGCAACCTTGCTTCCTAAAGAGCCTGAACTTGGCACAGAAGTGAGAAGATGCAGTCACTAGTCTGAGTTTGCTCCGTGACTCCTGTCCCAGGCTTTGGATGTAGAGACATTAAAGGGTAAATAAATAAATAAAAGCTGTGTAACCTCAACATACCATCCTTTTGCCTCACTGGTGAAAATCAGGTGATAAGGATTATTTTATCATCTCCAGTGTTCTTGCTACAGAAGAAGTCTTTGTTAAAATACTTCTAATGCTCACATCACATACCCATACACCATCTTTGCTGTACTATAGGTGAGGCTACTGTCAGTTTGACACAGTTAATTCTTCATTACTTAAAATTTGTCTAATAGAAATTGTTTTAGCTTACAGTGGGTGACTTACTTCACACATCCAAGGAACCAAAATAAACCACATCAGGCAGAAAAAATTGTTAAATAGCAGAATATAGATTTTGAGAACATTTAGCTATATTCATAGAAAAGGGTAAAGCTAAATATTTGTCTATGTGCAAATGAAAATGCCAAATGTCTTTTTAGGTACATAATCATCTGTGTAATTTCCAGGAGGACTTACCAGAATTAAAAAGAATAATTCCTTTAAGATAGGCGTATTCTTTTGCACTTATGTCCAGGTTCCAAAATTTCCGCAATAAATTCTTTATCTGCTGAACTTCTGCTAAAGATGCTCGCAGTGATGAGCTGCCCAGTTCATTGCTAGCTGTCAAAGACTGATTGAGGAGGATTTTTTTCAATAAACTAGGGGCTGGAATCTCTCTCAGGTCAAAATCCACCCCTTCTTGTGCCATGCCGAGGACAAAAAGGGGGGCCCAGTTCTGCTGTATGAGGACAAGCTGATCCTCCCAAGGCATGTGATAAAAAGATGGCAAGTTTCTAATAAAATTTGTAGTCTTCAAGAGCACTTCAGAAGCTCTTCTGCACGTGGCTTCTGGTGTTTTCAGGACAACTCTTCTGTCCAAACAAGAGCAGCCCTTGCTCCCTGTAGAGCCATGGGGACTGTGATGCTGCTGGTGCCACTTGGTCTCACTTCCACGCTCTTTGTTAAGGATCTGGTACAGGATGCTCTTAGTATGGTGTGTCTTACACTGACATTTCCCAAATTTCTTAGCTGGGATTGCAGTAGCCATAGAGCCAGAGTTCCCTGTGGCAGGAAACAGTGTGCGTGGAGCTATGCCTCAACAGCAGTGGAGAGCATTTCAGCCACACAGCAAGGCATTGTGAGCCTTTATATACATGGGTGGTTGAAAAAACATATGACCCTGATCTGTAAAGTTACCTTGAACTTTATTTGCACCAGTCTGTGGGGAACGAGGCGTGGCTGCAGGCTGCTGCTGAGCAGGAGGGTTTGTGCCTGCCAGTGGCATGGGCATGATTTACCACGGTGCCCTGGTGCTGGAAGGCTGTCCCTGGCCTTCTGCCACCGAGCAGTGGCCTTTAGCCAGAGGCAGCTATGTAACACACTCAGCCTGTGCCTGAGGGACAGCCCAGGGAAAACTAGGACTGCGTAAGTGAAGAAGGAACAAGCTGTCTATGCTTTTATTGATACACTGACCTTGCCTGCTAGCTAATGCTCTGGAGGGCATAGAAATACATCTACACTTATGAATGATGTTGTGTCAGCAGTCCCTTGAGTAGGCATTTTTATTTCTTGCTTAAAGGAGCCACCTGAAGATGCTGTGGGTGTTTACCATTATTTTTCACAGAGCACTTCACAGTGTTCATACTTTACACTGTAAGTAACAAGATGTGACACCTATGTCAGGAGTAAACAGGTGAAATTCCCAGGAATGGGAATGTTTAGGAATTATTTCACATTTCTGGAATATCTGAGAAAACCTTCAGAGGTCAGCTGCTATTGCTCATGACAACATTATCTCTTGCATTTCACAAATTATGATTTCAAACGCAGAGCATGCAGACTTAGATTCATAGAATCGTTTAGGTTGGAAAAGACCTTTAAGATATTAAGTCCAGCCATTAACTCAGCACTGCCAAGTCCACCACTAAACCATGTCCTTAAGCACCACATTTACATGTCTTTTAAATACCTCCGGGGATGGTGACTCCACTCCTTCCCTGGGCAGCCCTGGCATCAGTGCAGAGCAAGACAATACAAGGCATTCAGTATAGTTTCCTCCTTAACTTCAGAATATTTCTCCCAGACTTGCTGTGTAATTAAGTATTCCTCATACAAACTGATGAATCAAAAAATGGCAATTTGTATTGTTGTATGTGTGAACTTTTGTTGCAGAGCAAGAGATGAATGATTGAATTGCCAGGACTCTTCAGTCAACATTAGGGAATATTAACTAGCAAGCATTAAAGGAACTCAGCCTTAAAAAGAAAATGATACCTCAAGGTTTTGTTACTTCACACCCTTTTGCTTTTATATAGGCAAAGAGGTACTAAGTTGTTTTCAACAAGCATAATGTTGGTGCATCCCTACCATCTGGGCTCTTAGCATGTCTCAACAAAAAATGTGCATTCAAAACAACAGCTTGAAGGACTTCTTCTGTCAGATCTCCAAGCCTTTGGGTGTAAAAAGGCCATCCCATTAGATGCATAGCCACAAATTTGCGTTTTGCTACAACCGATACTTTTTTAGTATGTGAGGCTCTTTTAAAATTTCCATTTATTTACCTTTCCATGATATTTATGTATTTTCCCCTTCTGAGGAGATAAAAAGTGGAGGAAGAAATGGCTGCTCCAAAGCTGAGCAATCTAGAAGTGTAGTGCTGCTGAGGGGCAGCTGCCAGTAGCTGCAGTAAAGGTCCAGGGGGCCCAGAGCACTGAATACCTGGTAGGATTTGCTTGTCCACCTCTCCATCCCTTCAATCCCTGCTGTTGTCCACAGTGAGCATTGCCTTGAGCATCCTGGTGTAGTGGGGAGGTGTCCCTGCCCATGGCAGGGAGGGCTGGGACTAGATGATCTGTAAGATCCATTCCAACCCCTAAAATTCTATGACAGTGAGCTCTGAGACACCCAGCTGCCATACTCCAAGGTAAAAAATCTTTGCCTTCAGCTGAAATCAGCACCATCCCACAGCTCACCGTTTCACTCGCATGGTTCATATCATCATTTTGCTGTTCCTATTAATTGTGCTTGTTTATGTTCTCCTCTAGATTAAACCGGTTCCTTTCCTACCATTTTTTTCCCTGAAGTTTGCATCCATCATATGCAGAGAATCCTGATGTCAGTAATGTATGGTATTGGATACCATTTCTGTTTATCATAATTTATTTCCTTTGATTGTGTATAGATGTAAGAGGCAGAAGCAAATGATATATTTTCAAACAGGAATTCCTGGTATATTATAATAGCTTTATGACTGTTTACCAAAAATACAGAGGAAAGGTTAATGACTCAGTACTACTGCTAAGAATGCATCATCAGCTTTTTCTGAGAGAATGATTACTCAGAATTATGAGTCAATATTGAATTGCAGGTGAAACTGATCCTGATGGTCCTGATTCTAAATTGTCTGAAATGAGCTTTTGGCATGACCATATTTTCTCAAATGCAGAGGGCCAGCAGCTAAATTTAGCTCTATGCTCATAAATTAGACAACAGTTAATTTTGCTTTCTAAATCTTACCTGTAGAATGGTTGCAGCCACATGCACCTAGACAGCAAACATCTAAGTCTTCTTGCTACAGTAGCAATGCTTCATACTTTCAAATGTTAAGAAAGTATATGATACAAAATCCAATTTTGTGATATAAGAAATCCTCACAGATCTTTATCTATTTCAGCTGCCTCTAGCATCATGGTTTGAGAACAGTAAAACAGTCACCTCAGTGTTATTTTTTCTGTTTTTCAGTTATACACTGTTTTAAATGTACAAGGCACACACCCCCACAAATACTTGCTGCCACCACATTCTCTCTGCAACCATCAGAATTGCTCCTCAGGCACAAGTGACACCATTCAGACAACAAAACAATGTGTCACAAGTCCACATACAAAATTAAAAAGTACTGAAAGAGAGTAGGTTTAGAGTACATACTGTGAAGAAATTCTTTACTGTGAGAGTGGTGAGGCACTGGAACAAGTTGCTTGGAGATGTTATGGCTGTCACAACCCTGGAAATGTTCAAGGCCAGGGTGGATGGGGCTCTGAGCATCCTGGTCTAGTGGAAAATGTCCCTGTCCATGGCAGTGGAGGTGGAACTACATGATCTTTAAGGTCCCTTCCAACCCAATACATTCAGTGATTCTGTGGTTGCTGCAGACAGCTCTAGAATAGTCATACCATTGCTGGGAATTAAAATAATGAATATCCTGTTCAGTTCAAAAGTATAAGATATGCACTATTTTTGGCTCATAGTCCATAGCATTAATTCACCTAATAGAATGCTTGGAAGGCTGAAGAGACTTGTTAGATAATATAGGACCTTACATGGTCATCTCATCCTTACCTTGGCAGTAGCCAAACATGAGTCCTTCAGGAAGGGTATATGACACCCTTCTCATGAGTATATTTCCTGCCTTCAATCATTTGCATAAAGCCCTGAACCAGAATGATTTTATGCATTTAATAGCTCTGAATTAATTTCTACCCTATGATCTTCTGCAGTCTGCTCCTGAAGCCACGTGAACATCCACATCAGCCTTTGTCAAGGAGCTCTGTGGATGCCTGTAAGTGAGACAGAACTTGATCAAACATGGTATTTGGTGGATCTGGTGTCTTTTTGCTCTTGTACTGGGGAGGGGGGAGGGGGAAGGAAGTGAGTCCATCCCTATTAGCCCTCTCTGTAGCTTGCTGTATTTTGTAAACCATTCTAAGACTTCCATGGTCAGCTTTTGTTCAAACTAAAAAGACATAGCTTCTTTCTTTAGAGTGGCACTAGGCCTTTGACCATCTCAGTACCCTTCTTTGAATCTTTCTTAGCCCTACAGCTTTACTAAGATATTCTTTAAGGGTAAGTGCAGAAAGTATCAGAATATGACATGGTATCCAGGACATAGGAGAGCATGGATGGGATGAAGTTCTCTGGTTTGCCTTTCCCAGAAGTCACTCCAGAACACTGAGCTGTTGTCACCGTTAAGCTGTGTCAGAGCCCCTAAGTGTTACTCCTTAATAATAATCATCATTTCAGAGGCTCTTATCTTAGTCCTGAGTGGAGTCAGGAGTGTTTTATTTTATGTGCATCTTCTGCCACACACACACACACACACATATATATATATACACCCATACCTTATTATCATTTGACACCTAGCTGATGATTTTCAGAAGGCATTTCTACCATTCTGCTGACAACCCTAGTCTTCCTTGGAATAATTTTGTACCAGACATTTATATTCTGAAACTTTGAAGGCACTACTTTTCAGATTAGTTCACTCAATACTGTGTGTTGTTTAAAAGACTATCATAATTCAGCTATGGGGCAGGAAATCTGACACTGTCTTTGCAGTAGAGTGTCTATATATACGAGTACATATATGTTGGACTAGACATATATACACAGTGTATACAGTAACTATGTTATTACTAAGCAGTGATGTGAGCTTTCCTACTTTCCTAAAAGGTGAGACTGGAGGCAGATGTACTTCTGGATGAGAAGAATCTTCCACTTTTATTTCATATGGGCTACAAGAAGGAAACATCTTCCTAGGAAGCTGACAGCAGCCTTTTTGATGTCATCCTGTCACACCAGGTTGATATATGCCCATATTCCTTGACTCAGTGATTTCTTGTCTCTCTGGTCTCACGTACAAACATTTAATTGGCCTATAAACATCCCTATGACTTCAGAGCAGGATTCTTTAGGAGTTTTATACAACTTGTTTTCTGGGAGGAGTTGGGTGAATTTCATATCACAGGTACTTTTGAGGACAGCTGACTTCTCTTACAGCCTTAATGATGACAAAAGGAGACAGTAATAAAACCATTACCTTTCTAGAAGAGTTCCATCTCCTCTTTGTCCCATGGTGCTCATCATCTTTCTTGAGCAATAAAGGTATTCATTTCTCAGCTAGAGGAGCCAAGAGCTGCCACTCAGATTGCCTGCTGTGGCTTGGCAGATACTGGGAAGTATCAGACCCATGTTGAAGCCTGCTCAGCTTTTCAACAAGCTCTGAAACAGTGTCTTTAGCTTATGGTAATGCCATGGCCAACTAGGATT